TCATTCAGTTGAATAGAATTGTGTGTTTTCATCTTTTTATGACTTCTCTGACAGTGGACACTTATTTCGCTCTGATTGTGAATGGACAGTGGTGTGAGTCATGTTTTAGCTGTATGCTTATTAATGACAGTAACTTAAAATAGTGTGCCTGATACTTATTCTGTGATGAACTGAATTAAAACGATACATTACAATTTGGTATAATACAAATATATTCTCACAGTATCCTATCCTCTTTGAAATGACTATGCCTCGTGTTTTAGCAAGTTATGTATTCCTTTTACTTAGAGATTTTGAATGCAATCTTCCATATCCAAAACTCACCCCTGTTTTTCCTTTTGCCTTTTTAGTGAAGTGGTCATTTCCAAAAAAAAAAAAAGCAATGAAACTATATAGCCAGCAGATGGCAATAATGGCTTGTAAATCAGAATTTGATATTTTAGGTAATTTTAAAGTTGATTTTAAAACAGAAAAAGCACTGTTCTTATAATAAATCAGTTTACTAAATATGAAATTTAGGGAAATTCCAAATATAACCCTGCATAAAAATAATTTCTTTGTATATTTCATATATCAAAGTAATTAAGATATTCATCATGGGCAATGTTTGGTTTTCCATTTAATACAGTAATGGCTTTGCTTGAATTGATTCAGATAATTTTTAATCAAATTTTAATGTTTGAACTTTGCACAAAGACATAGATATAAATTCCACTTGAATAGCCGAGTTATATCTTTGTCTAGCTTGGTTTTATGGAACAAGAAAGCTCATAGTTCAATCAACATCATTTTCAAAATTTAAAATTTGATAATTTAAAATACTAATTTCACTTTAATTGATACTCTTCTGCATAGAAGGTGGGTTTTTATTTGTGCTATTTCACAGTTTCTTTTGCAGTAATGTATTTTTTCCCTTTTTATGGTGCAAGGAGTTGGAATTGGCATCCAAGCGTTCATCTCTAGTCTGCCACCATCAGTCCCAAAGATGGTAACAGAATTCTCAGGATCTCCTCATTTTGTTAGCGATAACTGAACCACATATTCAAGATTTCTCTTAGTTTGATTTAGTAATTTTATTCATTTCAATCAAGAAATTGTATAAAGGTAAACCAAATGAGATTCGTATTTTATACTTTTGCAAGATTTCCTATAAATTCACAAAAATGAAAAAACCCTCTTGCTGAAATATATATACACACACACATATATATATACACACACACACTTTTGTCTCCAAAAAAATGGGAGAGCCGTGGGTGTGTGCTTCTTGGTGGCTATGTATTTTCTGACTGGTCTGTGTTCACATGTTAAAAGATATTTTTCAAATTTTTCTTCAGTTAAATGACCTCCTCTGAAAGAAATGTCTTTGCACAGGCATATTTTGTGAAACAACCAATACGTAGTCAGAGTTTACATCCAGACCAGGAGACTGTTGTTGGGGCAGCAGAGTCCTACTTCCGTATGGATGTCACCCACCCACACGAGGAACTTGAAAATCCTCTTCTGCAATCTGTTCAAACTCTTCTTGAGACACTTGCCAGTGATAATGTATAATCCATTAGGAGAGAAACTGTTGAGTTATGCAGTTTTTGTTTCTTAGTTAAGGCCATATATCTGAGTTAAGAAAAGGCAAGATAAAGTTGCTTGTTAATTCTTAGAATTTAGAACTATTTGTGCCAGGGGTTAGTGCAGCATGTTAGTCACAAGTACAGACAGGACTTGCATCCTGGCTTTCCCACTTACTGTAGGCCCCTTAATCACTCTCGGCCTCAGTTTTCTCATACTTCAAATGGGAATAATAATAGCCATTGACATCATAGAGTGGTTGCAAAGACTGAGTAGAATGATAGAGCATAGAGATATAGTAAATGTTTTATGAAAGGTACCAGTTATTATCAAATCAAAGCACAGGATGGAGAAGGATTATTTACAGTAATTTTTTCATGCCCAGGGAATCCAAACAACCAGCTATAATTCTTCCTGGAAAAAAAATAAAGAGGTAAAAACAAACTAATATAAATTGAGAGCCTAAGGCCATACAATGCTATCCAATAGGCAATATTATCTTCTTTTTACAGATAAACTGAAGCAGGGAGAAGGCTCATGACCACTGACTGTTAACTCGCAAGCACACAAGATTCACTCCCCTGGAAGTCCTCAAAGTTGACAAGTTGGGCCCTAAGGAATGAAAATAAAAGATTTGCGGGATATCTTTCTTTCACATTTTAAAGGAGCAGCTTTAGTGAAATGTAATTCACATACCATAACTTACATTCTTTTAAGTGTAGCATCTACTGACTTTAGTACACTCCCAAGGTTGTGCAACTAATTCCACATTCCCATAGTGGTATCTCCTTGTTGTTTCCATTTGCATTTCCCAAATGAAATATGGTGCTGAGCATCTTTTCATGTTCGTTCGCCATCTGTTTATCTTCTTTGGTGAGGCGTCTGTTCTGCTAGATCTTTTGCTCCTTTCCCAGAGATCAGTGGACTGTATTTATGTGGCTGTGTTTTCTGGGCTCTCTCTGCTGCTTGGTTGATCTTCTTGTCTGTTCCTTCACCGGGATCATACTGTCTTTATTACCGTAGCTTTGTAGTAAGTTTTGAAGTTGGGTTCTGTCAGTCCTCCACCTTTGTTCTGTTTCAAGATTGCTTTGGATATTCTGGGTCTTTTGCCTCTCCATGTAAACTTTGGAACCAGTTTGCTGATAGCCACGTAACTGGCTGGGATTTTGATTGGGAATGTAATGAATTTCTAGGTCAAATGAAGAAGAGCTGGCATGTTGACAACATCGAGTCTGCCTATCCACAGAAATGAAGTATCTCTCCATTATTTATTACACCTCCTTTGATTTCTTTCATCAGAGTTTTCTAGCTTTCCTCCTATAGATCATATACACACTATTTTATTATATTTATACCTAAGTATTTTGTTTCCCCTTTTTTGGTGCTCCTGTAAATGGTGTTCTATTTTTATTTCAAATTCCAATTGTTCATTGCTGGTAGGAAAGCAATTGACTCATTCATATTAACTTTCTATCCTATAAGTTTGCTACAAACATTCTATGAAGTTTTTTTTGAAATATGTTAATGTTCTTTGTTTTCTTAAAAAAATATCAGTAAGAACGAGAAGGAAAAAAAGAACCTTTAAACTGTAAGCAAGCTGAACGAATGAACTCGGTTGTATTGCAAGTGAATGACATAACCACGCAGGAGAACAAGAAAGGAGCTAACCCACGTAACTGCAAAACGTGTCATTTAACCATAGACCCCGAGTTGAAGAGGGAGATAACTTCAAACCCCAACTCTGTGTAGAAGGTGTATTTATCGTGGGCGTTTGAGGAAGCGACATGAAACCAGCTGGCATGTCTGACAGATGAGTAAATGGTGCGTGGATGTTGTCGGAAGCCAGGGCTCTCGCAGTGGGAGAAGGCAGACACGGATATGGAAAGGAGCAGAGCAAGCACTAAAGGACTCCGTGGGACACCTTGGCATTGGAGATATCGGCATACACTCGTGATTTCTAAGGCCTTTTGTACACACGCACACGTATGTACACTTGAATGTGTGTTTGTATGCATCTGTGTATGCCTGTGAGCTGCAAGGGCGTGGCAGTGAACACACCCCATTGGGCACGTCTGCACCCAGATCTTGGTTCCTGATCCAGTTCCCCGACAAAAACGAGTCCCAGGCTCCTTGTAGAAATGGCTGATGCCGGGGCTGGGGCAGAAGAGATACCAGATGAGCCCGGGAAAGTGTGTTATGCCAGAAATCAGAGAAGTGCTCAAAAGTACATTGGGGCGTGTCCCAAGGGCACGGGAGCCAGCGCCAGGGGCTCCCAATGGCCAAATCTGGGATTGCATCAGGATAAGTAAGGATAGTAATTGTCAGCCATTGAACAACAGGGTTTTTGTGTTTTTTCTTTCCAGGAGAGACAAAGAAGGTCTGAGGAACTATCTCAAATACAGGAGACTGAAGAAACATAACAAAATGCAGTATGTGACCCTGGACTGGGTCCGTACTGAAGGGAAAATGTGCCACAAAGGACATCACTCTGTCGTTTGACAAAGCTGGAGGGCAGACGGCCGATCACAGTACCGTGCCATTGCCGAGTTTCCCGAAGTTGCTAACTCTGCCGTGGATTTTTCATGGAATCTCCTCTGTTATGGGAAATACCCTTTGAATTACTTGGGAACAATAGGGCGTGGCATATGAAACCTACTGTCAAATGGTTCAGAAAAACAATTTGTATATACATATAGTGTGTGTGTGTGTGTGTTTGCACTACTCAGTGTGAGCGCAAATGGCAAATGAATCTTGGTAAAGAGCATGCTGGGTTTTTTAAATGCAATTCTTGCAACAACTCGGTAAGCTTAAAGTTACTCCCGCTGGAAGATTTTTACAAGAGGGGTGTCCGGCATGCCCGAGGAATGAAGGGTAAGAGGGCAGAGCTCTGAGAGCAGCAGGCGCGGTAACGTCAGATACACTGGAGGACTGCCATGCGGAAGGAGGATGAAGACCGAATCTGGCTAACCTTGTTTTGTGTCAGCCTGCTGGGTAATGTCATTACCTCGCGTCCAAGAGCTCGGGGCCGGAACGAGAGGTAGGAGTCCTTCGAGCCTTATGGAGTTTTCACATCGCTCCGTGCAGAGGTCAAGGCCCCAGCATTCTACGCGTTCACTGGGGAGTCGGAGAGGGAAGGGGCGTGGGTGCGGGAAAGTTGGCACTAGTGGGGACTTGAGAGCAGTATCTTCTCTATGGGTTTTCAGAGGCAAGGGCAAAACCCCGAGTAGTGATCCAGTGGGCGGCACCTGGCCTGGGAGTGGCCAGTGGTGACCTTGGACCGTGCCCAGTCCCCCTCTTTTATTTCAGGTGAGGAAACAGGTGGCAAGAGTCACGGAGCAAACGGTGTCACATAAGGAAAGGTGTAAATGTGTGTCCGTACGTATCAAAACCACACCGTTTTTAATGAAAGAAATTGATATGCACACATTTCGTACTTCTGTACAACTTTGGGTAATATATAATTTTAAGCTGTTTACAAATAACAGGTAATGCTTCCAATATTACATAATGTCGATAATACATTTCTAGCAGAAATAAATATATTGCACTTAAAAAGAACTTCATTAGATGTTACTTCATAGTCTCAGGCTTATAACTTCTTTTCTCATAAAACATTTCCCACGCCCGTCCCCCAGCCCCCGACACACACACACTTTGTCCCGGTGACTGCACGCACGCAGGTCGTCAAGCACATGAACACAGCAAACGACAGAGCGGTGATCGAGTCTACTAAAAGGCTAATACAATTTTTTTTTTCCTTTAGGAAATCAAAGACCTTCTTTCAGGTGTTTGCAACTAAGAAGAAGAAGGAAAAAAAGCAACTAAATACAGTATTTTAATGTACCAGAAGTAAAATACAATAAATCGTATTTTTTGTCCAGAGGTATTATCTCAACAAAATGTTTTTATTTTATTACTGGGGGGGGGGAGGGGAATTGGAAGTAGTTAAGGCATGGACAGAAAGAGAAGGGCCAGAAAATGCTTTGGGAACATCTGCCTATCGAACAGTTACAAAGGAGCCTCTGCATATTTAAGCGTGCCGAAGAACTCGAAGTGTTGGAATATTTGGTAACTGGAATGGAATGAACAGTAGTGAAGAAAGGATATTGATTTCCTCGGGTTTTAAGAGATTATGACCTTCCCTTTGCTCATTTACATATAATCCTTGGATTCTGAAATAATGCAGAAATGTTTAAAATCCACAGTCTCTCCAAGTGTGAGTCTCTCAAACAGCCAGCTGCAAACCTCTCCTGCCCGGTGCTTTGTGTGCTGCCCGTGCAGTCTAGATTCAGGGTGCAACGTGGTTTCACCTGCAGTGGTTACCAACTGCACACACATTCCGCAACGAAAGCAGTCTTCCTTACCCAGTGACTGGGAGACTGAGTAAAAATATTGTTTTCCTCACAGCAGGGGTCCTGTCGATTACATAACTGTATTTTGAACTTTAGTTTCTGAGTCATGGCTAAACTTGACCACGTATTCAATGGGGGGAGGGGGGTAGTCACTTCACCCCCTTTACCAGAGGCTTATTTTCTCACTACAGTTCAGCTCAAATGTAAGGAGCCCAGCCTGAAGAGCGAATGTGAAATTCAGAATCGGGATAAGTGTCCTAACCTCTTGCTGAAAAATTCACAGGCAGTATGGGGTGAGGATGCTTTACTCCCAAGACTACTTATTTCCTGGGCTTTTACAGGTTTCCTTTTCGGGGGCGTGGGAGGTTGTGCAATGACAGGGATGTGGGTGAGGGTGGCAGAGGAGAGACCCTGGGACGCCCCAGACATCAGTGTGACTCCCATACCCCGGGGGTTTTGCCAGGTGAAGAATTATCTGGCAAAGGAAGCTTCCCGATCGCCGCTCCTCCGGGCCCCCCTACCAGGAATGGCGGCAGCCCTTCTGGACCACGGAGCCCCGTTACCCACTCAGAAGGACCCGCAATGCGGCACACATTCATTAATGCAGACCTCGCCGCCTCGCCGCTTGTGATACGTTACACAGGAGCTGGATATATTTATCTGTACACTGCTAAGGGTGGGCAGAAAGGGGAGATGATTTTACTAAGTCAAAGAGATAATAGAACTTAGAATTATTGATAAATGCTTTTAAAATAAATCATACGCACAGGCCCTGCTAAGCTACAAATTCATTTCTTCGGGTTAAACAAAGCCGTTCTGGCAGAGCCTTTTCTCAGCAGCCCTGCCTGCTAGCCATGCTTGTCCATACTGTAACATATGTGGGGGGGGACCCTGAATTTATCCCAGTTATAACTCATGCTCTTTGTTATTCGCTTGGCTTTTTTTTTTTTTTTTGCTAATTATCTATCTAATTGTTGCAATTACTTTTGGTAAAACAGACATAACAGTTTTACATCTTAAATACCCATGGAGTTAAGTGAGAATCAACACCCCGAATAGCTCATAAGGACTGGACAGGGGGCGTGGGGAGCAGGTAAATTTCTACCCCAGTTCCCACAGCTGCAGGACTCCGATCGGGTTGGCCTCCACAGTTGTGCTTCTTTCCTTCTGGTTCAGATAAAGCCACCTGCTTCAAAATACATCCAGTTTCGAACTCCAGGTGCGATTTCCCAATAGCATGCTTTGACATCTTCATCTTTTCTCTCAGCACTCTACTTATTTTTAGTCTTATCGCTTAATCACAAAATAAAGTTATGAAGTCAGGAAATACTGACGCGAAATCATATTTACCAAAATACATACACCCTCCTCTGGAGTCACACGGATTGGGAACAGAGTATCAAGATGGTATTAAAATGACCCTGTCGCTCTCGTTGGAAAGGAAACGCAGGTGGGGTTTACTTCAGTTCACCAGCAGTTCCCGGGGCATCGACTGGCACCACGTGAAACAGCATCTACTTTGGTCGTCCCCACGTCAAGCAGCCGCACTCTGTCTTAAAAGGAGCCTTGGCAACAGGCCAACAATTAAACATTAAATCCCTCTCCTAAGCTCCATGGATATTGAAACATCACTCATGGCTGCTTTTTAAAGGAAGTGCACAGCCGTGCTGTGTTGGGAGGAGAACTACCTGTGCCTGCCACAGCCCCGCGTGTCGGAGGCTGCAGAGGAGCCCGCGGCGTCCGCCACGGGACCTTGAGCTGCTGGGCTCACACAGCCCGTGCTTCCCCACACGTAAGCCCCGGGACGCAGCGCAGAATGGCAGTGGCAATGACAAAGCCCGGCGACAGCATCCCCTGGACGGACGACGCCATTTTGCCTTGTTTCATAAGCTGGAAATGCCCGAGAAAGGCACTTGATATGGAAAGGCCTAACATTAAAACAACCCAATAAAATCCCAGCGGAGTCTGTTGTGATAAGTATATTGCATTTACTCTGAAATGCACTTCTACTCTCAGGAGCAACAGTTCCCATCTCTTTGAACAGATTCAGTATTTTTGCAGCCAGACAGAGTCAAACGAGTGTTACATGGAACACGTAAATTAAATTAAAACCGTTTGAGGGAGCTTTGTGAAGAGGGCAGGTTATAGCCTACAATTAGACTGCAATGTATCTAAAGTCAAAGGACTGTAAGGCTCATTACATTTCTGTTACTAGGGTAATGAACTCTTGCAGCATACCAAAGCACTACCCTGACAGTAAATGTTTACACATACTATGTTGCCCCAAAATAATAGAGATTACATATAACGAAAATATAATTAATTAGCATACACCATTAAAGGGATTAGGAAGAAGATAGCAAAAGCTGAAAATTAGTGGGTAAATGTTCAGATTTACTTATAAGCCATGTTTCAGTCAGGGCGCCCTTGAGTTAACGTGTCATCGCATATCACAGGCTAGAAACCGGTCAAGGAGTCACTGAATGTAACAGGAAGCAAAAAGGACAGATCGGGGAGCGTGGACCCACAGCTCCTTGGGAGCAGCGCAGCTCTGATGGTGGCTGTGCGGGCGCTGAAAAGGGTCATTCACAAATCCTTGTCAATCAGCAGGAGCAGCTAATCTAACAATGACGCAGATTTTCCAAAAATGAGAATTGGGCCTAGTGCCCTTGAACATCCAGCAGGTCTCCCAAAGCTGAAGTAACAATGAAGAGCCCTTCGGCACCCATGACCGGGAGATGCCTGTCAGAACCGGGCAGCCGCCTCTCCACCGCAGCTGCGGGTGGAAGTGAGCCCCACGTGCCGCCCCGGGGTGGCTGGAGAGCGTGCCTCAGTGGGCACATCAGCCGTGGACTGAGAAGCAGCCCAGGAAAATAAACCCTCGGTTCCACCGTGTACCACACAGAGCCTCCCCCTTCGACACTGTATCTAGGAGAGTTTTCCTGCATTCGTGGCAAGTAATTGCAAGAAAGAGAATTAAGAAGACTGTGAAAAAAGAGCTTGGCAGGAACTGGCCCTTCGACAGTACCAAAAAAAAAAAACCACCTCATGAAATCTTGACCCAGTGTCCAGCCACGGAACAGGATGCATTAGCATTATCTCAGCTCCTCCCCCAGCAAAGCAACACAAAGCAGAACTAAACATGCTTAAGCTACAGCACTACAAATACGTCTCTATTGGCTCTCGTTCCCCACGGGGAGAAGTGGACTTCAGCTAGTCATTACGCATTACGGTTGGTGTGGTATGTGGTATTGCCTCTCGGAAGATTCTTTTAACCTGCGGAAAGCAGGAAGAACACCCCCGCACGCTGATTTTATGCGTTAGCGCGCCGACACAGCGTTTTTTAACCGCTAGGAGTAATGCACTTTAAGATTCATCTGCCTCGTGGTATTCAGCTTCCTGGGTACACTGATGTCCTGTTAGTTGCGGGACTCAGGCCTCTCCACGGATTCCTTCCCGAACCCAGGAGCCACCCCACAGCTCCAGGTGCATCCTGGTCCATGGTGCATGCTGTCCGCAGTAGGCTTCACTGAGAGTCCAGGTGTCCTCGATCTCAGACCCCATGTCTCCTGCAGAGCCCTTGCTCCAACGCCCCACATCCCCACCCCCCACCCCCAGCGCCGCCCTGTGTTTCCATACCCACTTGCACATTCTGGATTGGAGTCTCCTGGTTTTACAAGAGTCATACAAACGGCGTCATCACGGCGGAGGAGTGGCGCAGTCCCTGGATAGCCGCATAGGGCCCCTGCTGGAAGTAGTGATGGTACCGGGCCATGTGGAAGGACGGGAAGGTCGGGCCGCTCCCCTGCATGGGGCTGGCGATGGCCGAGGGTGTCAGAGGCATCCCGAGGCGGCCGTAGGGCGGCAGCGAGCCCTGGATGGGGTGAGGGATGGGCGTTGCGATGGAAGCTGTGCTGGTGCCAAGAGCCGTCAGGGACTGCGGGTGCTGGAATCCGGGGAAACTGGACGAAGATGACACCCAGGAGCTGAGAGACAGGTTATCGGAGGTGGTAAAGGCCGACCCTGAAGGGGGAAACAGCTCGTTAGGCTGGAAGTTCTATTTCCGCACGCAAATCCAGAGTTGTAGGCTCCGTAAGGGCCGACTTATTTTAAGAAATACATCGTAGATCTGCAATTCAAAAAGACAAACCTGTCGACCCGAGGCAAACCCACCTTTCCAGATAAGTCTCATTTACACCACATGTGAAAGAGTGAACTAAGTAAAGACTTAACTCGTTGGATGACCTGCGTGCTCCTAGACAGGGGCCAAAGCCCTGGTACCCTCCCCGAAGGTAATGGACTGGCCCCCTGTAGAGGACCTCCAGGTGGCTGGCACCTGTGCTACCCTCTGTGGCATCCCTGGCAGGGAGGCTGGGCACAGGATCCTCAGAGTTACTCGGTTTCCAGAGCCATTGTGACAACCTACAAAAGTGTTCTTTCCTCCCTCCCTCCCTCCCTCCCTTCTTTCCTTCCTTCCTTCCCTTTCTTTTTTCTTTCCTTCCTTCCTTCCTTCCTTCCCTCCTTCCTTTTTTCTTTCTCTTTTTCTTTCCTTCCTTCCTTTTTTTCATTTCTTTCTTTCTCTCTGTCTTTTTTAAGCTTCTATTCATTCTTTGTTAACTATTTCACAAGGTACAAACTAACCTTTTCTTACATCGGGGCATCCAGAAGCTGAAACAAGAGCTGACGTGGAATTTGCCCACTGCATAATTCCTAGGAGCTCATGTGGATTTTGTTGTAAGAGATATCCTCTGTTGTGACTGATTATGTTCTTTGTGTATTGTGGACGTTAAAATATGACCGAGCTCTCGCTGTCCATGCGAACACCCCTGTTGGCCACCCTCTGGTGCCTTTTCTCTGGACTCCCGGGTGCAGAGGGCTCTTCCCTGGACCTTTGTGCCGGGACCTTCCGGCTTTCCCCCACTCTCATCGCTGGGGCCGCTGCCTCTGCGTTATTCCTTCCTTTGTAACGTGTTTTCAGTTTTAGTCATCATCCTAAGAAGGTATTCCTGACCTAAGTGGCACAGATTCGCAGATTCTGAACTAAGGTCAGAAAGACTAAGGGGGCTGCCCATCCCCCCCCCCAAGCCCTATAGCCCTGGGGTTAGTGGGTCACAGGCATGCAACTCCTGAGCCCCAACTCTGAGGCTCCTGGTCCTTTTACTCCAAAACAAGACCACGTGGCACCTTCAGGCAGCCTCATCACTGAAGATGCAAGGGCAAAATTAGGACCCTTGTGAAAATCAGCCTCCCTTCCTGCAGGGGCTTCTGAGACTCTTTGGGGGCCGCGTGTACCCTGAGGTCAGGGCCCGTCCCCTTCGGGCTCCCGGCAGCACAGCAGCTGGGCTGGCCAGCCCGCGGCGGCCTCACCTCGGCTCTGTGCCGTCTGCACCTCGTCCCCCAGCACGTCCTCTTCTCCGTAGGTCCGGATGGGCGAGCGGGCGTAGGAATGCTTCTGGATCAGGCTCTCCACGCTCTCCCTGGGCGACAGGGCAGCACGGAGTGAGCGGAGCGCCAGGGCCTGCACGCAGGTCTCGCGAGAATGTACGAGTAACATTTTCTCGGCCGAAAGGCCGCTACTTCCGGGGAGGGTGACGTTCCCAACGCGTGTAATTTATCCCCTTGCAGACAGCTCAGAAACACGACCTCGGGCACGCAGACACAGGCAAACGTAGCCGGGTGTGGGGGGGGGGGGGGCAGCGCCCCGAAACCCCTCAAAACAGGGAACCAAGAGGTGAACACAGCTCTAGGAAACCTGATCCCGGGGAGATGGAGCTCGATTCTGGGGAGAGAGTGGGCCACTTCACTGGGAGGCGCTGCAAAGAACCTTCTCACTGACATGATCTCCCAGCAAATACAACGCCAGATCCTCGACCTCTGATAAAGTGTTGGCCGAACTTCAAAGTATCCTTGGTCATAAGAAGACTCAGCGTTCAACTGCCGAAGCTGGCGAGCCCCCGGGGTTCACGACAACGTGCCCAGCTCGGGGAACGACGCTGACACCTTCGTGGCTCGAAGACCGAAAAGGATAGAAAACTTGGGAAGGACACATATGTAGCCTAAATTAGTGGATTGGGGCCCCCAAATAAATTGGCCCATGGTCTTTGAAGGTGGTTTTTCTCTTGGGACCAAGTCTATAAACTAAAGAATGCATCAACTTAAAAAAAAAAGCCAGTATGAATTTAGTTTAAATTCTTTGCCAAAAAGCACAAAGAGGTAACAGGTTCGCTTACAGTATACATCTCCGGAATAGCCGTGGCCTAGAGACTAATGCCAAATTAACCACCGAAGGGCAAAGAAAGCTCCCTGCGTGAGTCCGGGGCACAAGCAAGGCAAGGAATGAATGGAAGAGGGGGGTGTGATCGATCCTTCTCTACACACATTCCTCGGTACCATCTACACTTTGGTCACACGCATTGTTTATTCAAAATTAATTACCAGTGATAAAGTATTATGAGAAGTAATGCCCTACCAGTGAACAGAGAGACAAGAGCTGCTGGTCTAAGAAATATCTGCCTCACAAGGCGATTCATTCTTCCAAAAACCATATATTTGTTGAGTGCCTACTCTCCTCTGTTCTAGGGATTGTGGAAGTGGCGGTAAACAAAACTTAATAAATAACCCATGCCTCATGAAGGGGGAGGCCAGAGGGAAGAGAGAGACAACAACAAAGCCCACAGCATATTTGATGACGACGATGATGATAGTGCTAGACAAAAACAAAATAAAGCAGGGACAGTGACAAGAGCTGTGAATGCAAGGATTCCATGAGATAAGGCATTTATTTGAATTGCCCAAAATAGAGCCTGGCACGTGAGAGATCCTCAGTGAATATTAGTGACCTGTGAACGTTTAGCTAAAGCAGGTAAAAAGGTGTTATTGTCTTAGACTGTCGTTTCTCCAGTTTAGTTCTGCCCATCTGAATGATCCTAGTTCAGAATAATGTGGTCCACATGAGAGGATTTTTCTCAGTGATTGAAAGCTAAAGTCAGCTGGGAACTTGAAAGTTCTTCGCAGTCCTATTAAAAAATTATATCTATAATAAAAGATAGAATGTTCAACTTAAGTGAGTCTGTACCATTTGCTTAAAAGTGCAACCTATTTTTTAAAATCAGTTAAAAAGACTTGTTGGAACGAGAATATTTGATCATTTACTAAGAGGCATCAATAAACACATCAACTGGGATAATATATATATAAATACATATATTAATGGAAAGGATACTTTGGCATGACATGGGTCCTGATCGATTTGCCAAGTGCCACGCATTTTCATCTTTGTTTGCCCACACTCTGGTGATGCTGGGCCCCCCGCAGCCTCCACAGCTGGCGTTACTTATTCAAGGACTTGACTCACTGCAGTGTCAGAGAGTGACTAGCTGCCTTTTCGGGTAACCTGGGTCGTTAAAAAAAAGGTCAAGCGAGCTGAGCAACCCCTTAATAAAATGACAGCCCTTAACAATAGGACATTCAAGCCGATGTCCCTTTAGCCTGAGCCACGTCCGTACTGTTAATAAGATGAACTTAGAAAAGAATTACCTGGTTATTTTCACATGAGGAAGGGACTTGCTTCAGATACCCTGGCAAATATCTTCTCTCTGCACGGTCACAGAGGAATGACCACCAATGGACCCGAACTGGGGATGGCGTTTCCCTAAGGGGTTTTCCTCTCCCCACCCCAGGCGTGGAAGCTGCTCAGTCCACGCGTTGATGTTCAAAAGCAGAGCGTAGTATCCGCTCTACAAGTGCCCTTGTGGAAAATCATTTCAGCAGCTTTCGCGGACACGCGCAAGAAAAACCACTTTCCAAACAACGCAATGCATCACTGCCTTGTGATTTTTTTTGCTTTTCTATAAGAAGGACACTAATTCGTTTTGTCCTTGGTAGATCGCCGGTATCATTACTTATTCCCGTCTCCAGGAGGGAGGGAAAAAAAGGGGATTTTATCGGAGTGATTTACTCGTGTCAGGCCTGGGAGTGAACGGGGAGCAACGGCAGTTCTTCTATAAAGGGCGGCATAATTGAATCACTGCCTTTTAAGCGATTGGAGACCGTGCTGCCTATCAGGGCCATCTCTTCAAAGACGCTACGAAAAGAAGACAGCCCGTGCTGCTTGTGTCTAATCCCTGTTTCCAGCAAAATGAAAAGTGCAAAGAATTTGTTCAGCCTGGATGTCTGGTGGGAGGATTTCTAAAACACCGTACCCTGAAAATTAAGGGACAATTCACCTAACGGGTTAAGCGATTTAGGTTATTGCAAGCTATACCTGTGCCTTATAAAGCTCAGCGCTGTTAAATCCCAAAGCCGGAGACGGCGAAACGGGTGCTGTTTGCGAAACCTGGCCTTTCTAACATCTAAGACTGAATTACTTTTCTAGGCAAAAAGAGGACATCATACCTTAGGTATCTTAAAAGCTTTCTCCTGACTATGTTGTAGCCATCAATTCCAAGAGTAATAATATACTGCACGTGCGGGGCACACGCAGCACCAGGAGGTGGGCAGGACTGAGGGTAGCTACAGTGCTCATGCGGATCCTGCCAAGATGTTCAGAACCATTTGAGGTCATTTAAACTATTTGTCCAGACTCCAGATAAGCAAAACCAATAGACTTGGTCCGTGTTGGAAATGACTGCCCTTCCTCTGTCTTTGAAACTAGAGCACAAATCTCTCATTGCTCAAAAAGGCAGAACCAGTGTCGCAGGTTCGATTCCCAGTCAGGCCACATACTTGGGTTGCAGGCCACAGCCCCCAGCAATTGTACATTGATGTTTCTCTCTCTCTCTCTCTCTCTCTCTCTCTCTCTCTCTCCCCCCCGCCCTCTCCAAAATAAATAAATAAATAAAATCTTTAAAAAAAAAGCAGAACCTTCTTTTCCCTCACGTGCTCCTTTGCACTCGCGTGGTGCCTACGTGTTCCTCTCTTGATGGCAATCATGTATCCACGTGACTGTACTTCTGCACTGCTGGCCTCTGGACCAGGCAGAGAACAATGCTTCTTACTTTTTAAAACAATTAAAGTTTTTATTTATTCATTTTAGAGAGAGGGAGAGAGAGAGAAACATTAATTTTTGCTGTCCCACTTATTTATGCACTTACTGGTTGATTCTTGTACCTTGACCGGAGATTGAACCCGCAACCTTGGTGTGTCAGGATGATGCTCTAACCAACTAAGCTACCTGGCTAGGCAGAACAATACTTCCTTTATCTGGGCATTGGTTCTTATACTGTAATGTGTGTGATAGACTGAATGGTTGTGCTCCCCCCAATTCAATGTTAAAACCCTAATCCCTAATGTGATGAAATCAGGAGGCAGGGCCTTTGTAGACAGTCAGGACTTGAGGGCACAGCTCTCATCAGTGGGATGACTGGTCTCCGAGGAAGAGACCGGGGAGCTGGGCTCAGCTCCTCCTTCTGAGCCGCGTGATGACACAGCGGGAGGGCGACTGACTGTCCGTGAACCAGGAAGGAGGTCCTCAGCAAACCTGCCCGCACCTTGATTCGGGATTTCCCAGATTCCAGAGCTATGAGAAAGAAATGTCTGTTGTTTCTGAGCCACTCAGTCTATGGCATTTTTGTCATAGCAGCCCAAACAGACTAAGAGAGCGTGCACCCACCTAGACGACTTGTCAAGGCACAGACGGTCCGCCCCTGCCCTGAGTTTCTGACTCAGGGGGTCTGCGGTTTGCCCAGAGAATGGAGTTCCCAGCATGTTTCCCGGTGACGCCGCTGCTGACGTGGAGGCCGCACTGGGACACCTGCCCCAGCTTGGCAGGTAGGGAGGGGCCTGCCCGCCGGAACCCATTTAGCACAAACCCCAGCTCTGCCGCATGCCAACGGTGCGCTTGTGGGCAAATCACTTCTCCGTGCCTCCGTTTCCTCAACGGTAAAATGAGGCTATTAACGGCATCCAGCTCTTAGGGTTATTATTGATATTTTATGGATTGATATACATGGAGCGCTTACATGTTGGTACCTAGAATATACTACATGCTCAGTAAGTGTTTATAGATAACAAAATTAAACTATAATTGTTATTATTGAGTATCATGATGATGTGCTCCCAAAGCTGGCCACATCTCATAATCATTTTAGATGAAATTAAGAATAGAGCCCTAGAGTTTAGTGAAACCATCTTTTAACCTACACGTGTCAGAGAGGAAATTCAAGAAAAAGTAATTTCAATGTACATTTTAACTTTCTCTCCTAAATATAAACCTAAAAATAACAACAACGAAACCGTGTCCAGGAGGAAAATGTCAGATCCATTAAAATGAAATCTAGCTCGTAGGAAACAAAGTATTTAAAGTTGTCCTTGCTTATCAGTTTGTTCTTGTTTACATCTGTCTTGCTGGGCCTCGGTAAATAACTCCTTGTCACAATGTTTTTCTAAAGACTTATGCAGAAAATTTTATAAATTACTGGGAGACATATCCATATTTATAGCTTCCACAAAGTACTCAATAAATGAAAACTTTAGATAA